TGTCGAAATTATTGGTTACGATGTGAATATGGTAAAATCCAGTCTGCATTACGAGTACGTGAAAACACACTGATGATTAATGTAACTTATAGTAGTCTCCCATTCTTTTTTCTTCGATTATTTTTTTTTAATTAAAGAACTGTCTTTGAACAAATCAGAAAACATTAAAGGTGAACAACAGGAAAAAAATAAACATTTCTTTCGCAAGTCAACAGGAAACAAAAAGTATTCTAATTTTTAAAACTTTAACAGTTATCGTAACCAATCGTTTCATTATCTATTCTTGCATTTGAATTTTTTTTTGCTTATTAGTTCTTCATATTAGAGAAAGTTCTCTCTTCTTATTAAATATCTTCATCTGTATCCGCACCAATTCTGAAGTAGAACAAGAAAAAAAAGAAACAGAAATAACTACTTTGCCTTCCTCCTTTTTTCGCTGATGAAAAGAGAGGAGAAGCAAGAACAAATGTCAGTATAAATCTTTTATTAACCGCTATATGAAGAAGCTTAAACAAGAAAAAAAAACAAAAATTTGTTGTTTTTTTTAATCATGAATTGTTACATTATTTGGTTGATTGTGCTAAATCATTTGTGAAATCATTTCTTTCTTTTTTTTTCACCTTTTTCTTCTTTTTCATCTCTTTTTCCTTCCTGGTTTTCTGGTCGTGAAATATCTGAAGCCAAATAAGCTTGTACAACATTTCCTTACCAAATTCAACAATATTTTACCGCCAGATGAAATACAAAAATAAAAAAAAAAAATTAGCTGAATTTCCCAACGCCCTATTCATTTTTCATTGTTTCTATGCAGTTTGACAAAATCTTTTTTTTTTATTTTACTTTTATTGATATATTTACTGATGTGTTTTTTTCTTTCGCTTTCCATTTGAAACTTCAACTGCACATAATTTTTAGTAGTGGACTTTCAGAAAAAAAATTTTTCTTTCTTTTCTGTACTTTCGTCAACAATCACCATCGATGATCAGGGAATTTAACACGACTTGAAACAGAAGTGTGAATTGCCAAATTCTAGTATAATAACTCTAAAGCAGGTGTTTTACCTGAATTTCAGCAAATTTTGTTTACAAAGTTCAGCTACTGTCACAGCCTGTAGTTGGTGTACCATTACCTTTATCGATGAAAAAATTCAATTTTCATTGCCTACATCGGTTACAGTTCAGTGATACGCTAAGGCCCACCAACACTGAGGCAAGAGGGTAGCACAGAACTATCATTCTTGTAGTTTGTTACCAGTGAAATGGTTGAGATGTATAAAGGTAAGAAAAATATCAGGAAACCAGTTAGACATATATCCTTGTTAAACCTAGCATGAAAAAGCAGAAAAAAAATGATATCATACGTCTTTTGGGCACTCTTCACAGACGAAACAAATTATCGCTGACTCCAGCAGCTTTATTCATGACATTTCTTTCACCTTTTGTTGCTTTTTTCCTAGATAGCGCAGTAAAAGAAAGAAATTCTTTTTTTTTTTTTTAAAATTTTATCTTAAGCATATATCGATAATAGATCAACAGTTTATTCTGTCTATTTTTGCCAATATGGTGACGCTGTTTTTGTTCACCTCACCGTCACTTTAGACTTCTGTTAAGGTTTTAATCGAATTTTGTTACTGTATTTCCTTTGTTACAACTTTCCAGCGCCTTTTTGCATTTTGTTCTAATTAAACAGTACCAACGTTCAGAACCACTGAATTATATTAACTTTTGTCAATGAAGATTTGAAAAAACTTATATTTTCACAAACATTTTTATTATTGCTTTTGCAGCATTACCTTTTTTTTTCTGATGTTATTTTTACATTTTATTACAGTCTAACGCAACATAGCAAGACTAATTCATAGCAGGAGCCAGAAAAACAAGGAACACTCTGATCTGCTAATTTTTGACATCTATTAATAATATAGGTGAGAAAAAATTGCTTTTTTTTTGTCGTACTTATTATCAATTCTCACTAAACAAACTGTGAAAATGTATAAATAGATCACCTAGGAAATTCACTCAGTAAACACCATAATTTTGTTGTTTTTCTTCTCACACCCGATAACACTGAGTGAATAGGTTTTTTAAATAAACTGTTCAAATGCACTTTAAGTGCTGTTAATCGGCATCCGGCGGAAAGGTTGAATTTCCAGAAGCTGACCTCTACTCTCTCCTTAATTAGCCCACATTCTAAAACTTTTTGTAGTGTCTTTTTCAGTTGTTAACCAACAGTAAATTAAGCGAACAGTGTTACAAACACCAGAGCTTTCTTCCGTTTATTCATCTGTTTTTGGTTTTGGTTAGTAATTGCAGCTAGTATTTATTTGGTATCAATCCATCACTGCATTAATTATTATTCCTACTGTGGGTTAAGTTTATTGAGTCTTGTCAAAAAAAAGTAAAGTTTTCTCCTACTTTTATAGTGATATAGTTGCATTTTTGTTTCCATTTGCTTCGGTTTCTGCTCGGGTAACTTGTCAATTGCCAATTGTAACGCCTTTATCCTACTCTTTTTTTGTGGGTTGATTAAAAAATGAAACAAAATTTGTAGATCATTTCATGACGAAACAATAATTTATTTTTTATCGACACCAAATCAACTTCCTTTTTTTTTTGCACAAAAACAAAAAAGAATCCATGTTGTCCTCCATCAACAGTCAATTATCGTACCAAATATAAACCTAATGTTGTTCTTTCAAAAATTTCATACCATATCCGTCGGCAAAGCATAGGGCTGTTATTTATCTTCAATGCGCCATTATTGATACGGTCACTGTTCATTCTTAAAAACTCAAAAAACTCTAGGTTACTTCACTAAATAATAATAAACAAATAATGACAAACTGCTCTCGTTAAATATTGTCATCATAGCATCTACAAGTTCAAAGTATTTCCGAATGACTCACAGAATGCCTATCTCAATTTAGTTGACAAATGCAACAAATAAACAAAAAAAAAAGAAATCAAAAACTATTTTTTTCTATCAATTTATCTGCAACTAATCATCTTACAATTTCTCGCTGTCAATCTCAAAAATGCTTCAAAAATTGGTCGCATCTTACAGAAAACTTCAGCTTCAATGACTGACAGTTTTCACTCGTATCAGCGGTCAATCAAAAAAGCAAAAAATTTTACTATACCTGTTAAAATTGTTGATTGATCTTCAGTTTTATCAAAACTAAAGCTGACAAGAAAGTCTACAATTTTGAGAAAAAATACAATAAAAATTAGAAGACAGCTATATATTACAATTATATTATCTCCATTCTTTTTGGAACTAATACCTGAAGATGACTGTACATTATTTGATCCACTGCTATTTGTACTTACTGTTTTTCAAGTTTTAATTTAGTAATAAATTCAAAACAAAAAAAAAAAAGATTTTTTTGTCCAATTCTTTCTTCTTTTTTTTTTTCTAGTATTCTACGGTAGGAATGTTGACGCGATGACAGTGAAACAGATCATTTTATGCCTGTTACCTGTTGTTCATTTCAACAAATATATTGTCGTCACCAACGCGCAATCTGGTTAGTTATTAATCGACTACTATAGACTTTACCTTTTTCAAAAAAAAAGCAAAAAGAATTATTTTTACCTAAACTGCGTCTCAGAAATGTTGTAAACTAAAAATCTTTTATCTAGAGAGAAGATGTTTATTGTTAGAAAGCTAATTTCTGTTTTTAACTTGTTCGAAATTACAAAAATTATAATGTTGAAAAAATTCCAAATGATTTTTAATTGCTGTAGGAATCATGCAGAATGTAAACTGATGACAAATTGGAGAGAGCTTTTTCGCTGTTTGTGCTCTCCTTTTCCTACTATTTTTCCAGAAAACATTAATTCAAAAGTCTTTTTTTTTGAATTTTTTACTAAAATAGAAACGATAATAACTATTAATCTTCAACCTATCTATTCGAACCAGTTAAATACTCTAAAAAAAGTTAATTTTTCCTTTACACCAATTTTGAGTAGTTCAACATTGGCATCTTTATAAATACCATCATATTATTTGAACTAACACTTTGGCAACCTAATAAACACCGCCTAATACGAGTCAAATCTGTGTCACTGTTTAAAACATTTAAAACTGCAAATTGATTCACTGTACTTTTTCTACCTTTGACTAACTTGCTTTTTTTTCACCCTATGAATCAATACCAGTTTAAAAAAATACAATTTTTTCCAGTGTTCTTCCAGCGCCATCAACAAAGCAAACAGTTACAGGTATGGCAAAACTTTTTCTTAAATAAAACCAATGTAATCTAATTCATACTTTTTATAACTACAGTTTGAAAAGCAAAAATCTTCATACTTCACACGTAGAATATATAACTAAAAATTGTCTTTTTTATTATCTCAACAGTGATTTGCAAGTTTGAGCAGTACATCTGTTTATTTATTTAGGAAAATCAATGGTTGACCGCAGGTACAGAAAAAAACGATGTTAAGTATTTGCCAAGACAAAGAAGGCAAGCATATCAAACCCCGTATTACCTAAGCGACTATTATCAGTCCGCGTATGGTTATTTCAATCACCCATCGTACAGCTACCAAAATTTTCAGCCATACGGGTATCAAAATCTTCAAACATATTCTTATCAAAATCCCGACCTTTACGGCTATCGAGCACTGCAAACTTTGAACTATCAAAACTTTCAACCTTTCACTTATCAAGGAACACAGTATGGCTATGGAAGTTTCAACCCTTATTTTGGTACCAATACCTATAACTCTTTCCTTCCATATAATAATCCGGTTTACTTTGCGAGTATGCCACAAACAGCAGTAAATCCAGTTAAAAAAACAGTGCAACACAAGCCCAAAATCCTCAGAAAATCGAGAGACAAATATCGCCCGCCTCCCTACCAACCATGCAGTCGTCAACTACTATTAGAAGATGCCGCAAAAGAAAAAAATAAACTTTCTTGCAAAGGCTTCCTCTGTTTTCCGTGGTCTCCCGTTGCAATTAAAAATTTCACATCGCGAAATGGATTTAGAATAATGCGAATTAAGCCAGATAGAATCAGTGAAGTTAAGAAAACGACAACCACAACAACGGCAGTACCTGTAGAAGCGAATTATAGAGTTCATCACGAATCAACAAATTCTGCAACGACTGAAACCCTAGCTTTAAAATCACTAAGTGCCACAAATGATTCACAACTGTCTGATGACAAAATAGATTCAGAAGAAACAAATGTAAAATTCGGTGAGTTATTCTTCTGAAGTAAGCCAAGACCAGTTTTATAAGCACAATAAACAACAAAAACAATTTAGATAATTCGCATCCTGACTTTCGCAGCGACGATAACAGCACCTATGAAACAGAGACAGATTTTTCTGACCTTTCAGATGAACAAACTAGCCCAACTTTTTTGCCAACCTCTACTTATAGCAATATCAATAATCAAAGCAATACTTCGCCAGCACAAGAAACATCAGAACCGACGTTAAAGGCAGAGAAAGCGATCAACAGCAGCCACGGTGGCTCACCTGAAGTTCAGAACACCGCGCTAGCCAAGAATACAGTAAAGACACTTGAAAAAATTGCCAGCACCTTATACCCCAAAGGAACGCAGAAATTGCAAGCTTCTTCTGAACCCACTGCAGCAGTAACTCTTAGCTCAATAAGAAGTGGTGAAGAAAACTTTTTAATTACTGCAGATGCGCACGAAAAATTGGATCATCCGATATCGGTACTCAGCATTGAAACTACTGCATCACGCAGAACAACAAAAGAAACGCCAGAGTTAGATTCAAAAAATGTGACTGAGGAACATTTTATTGCTACGAAAAGGCCACATGACTACAACATGGACGAACGAGATGAAGCTGAAGAGAAAACGGGCAAAACGACAAGCACCGCTCATGAAAATTTTGACAACAACAAGAGGACTAATTTTATTTCAGACCCAAATTACACCGGCGTTTACACTAGGCGTGTAGAACACATGTTAAATGTAGCAAACAAGTCAAAGATCTTGGCACCGGAACACTTTCCGTATGTTACAGAAGAAGTATTTAGACGTATCTACTGGCCCAAAAAGTTCATTTTGCTAACTGAAAAAAGAACCCGTGATAGCCATCATTATAGCAAAAATCTTAATCAATCAGTTTCAAAGCTAAACTCTGCAACCAAAGAAGGCGAACTTGAAGCTGAATTTCTTCATTCCGACACGAAATCAACGTCGGAAGCGACAACCACAAGTGCTCAAACTTCCATTCACTATAAAAACGACGACAATTTTCAAACAACAACAAATTTACCTCCATCAGATCGTGAAAAGTCAGAAACAAATGAAGAAACTTCAGATGTTACAACCATAAGCAATGTCAAAAAAAATAAAGACCATGCCGTCTCAAGCAAAAAAAGCCAAAATTACCAAACTGAAAAATCGAAGACGAATAAGGAGAGTGAAACAAGGCATAAAGGGAACGAAAACGTTTTTAAAAATCGAGAAGAAAAAATTACGCTTCAGGAAGAAACAGAAAAAGGAAGCAAAATATACAGAGAACCAGCGACTAACGATCAAAAATTTGATAAAACAAAGTTTAGTCAATTTCAGAGTGCCAAACTGCTAAGAAAATTGATAGCAATTGCGTCGAAAGTCAGAGAATCTTCAATTAAAACTAAGCCAACGGAAAAAAAGAGCTCTTTTGCAAAATTACAAAGGCAAAATGTAGAAGCAGAAACTAGTAAACATTTAATAAAAGAAAAAAAGACAACCAAACCAGAAAATTTAAAAAATAAAGAGCAAAAAAGTCGTGAACTTGACAGCCACTGGGTGACTGGGAACCTTTCAATTAAGGGTCCATATGAAGAGATACTGCATTATAGACGAACCGTTGAAGAGAATTTGAAAGATGAGACTGGAAATCAAAAAGGATCTCAGAATAGTGGCCGAAGCGGAGAGGAGTTGGTAGACGAGTTGACCAGAAATATTGATCAAAAACTAACAACTTTAGAGCCAGTGACAACAGTCGCTGAAAACCCTGAAGAAAATGTTTCAGCAGACTCGAAATCCACCGAACAAATAACAGCAAAATTCGATAATGATAAGGGCCTAAAAAATTATGTAAGCATTTTGAGAAGAATTCATGAAATCATTATCCAAAAGAAATTATAAAAGGTTTTCCAACTCCAAAAGAATTTTAGTACTGTAGCTCACCTTGTAGTCAAAACCTAAACTAAAAAAATCACTATAACGCATACTATTCAAGGAACCATTCCACTAGTACCCTTCTGTTGTTTCAACTGTATGAAAAGTAAAACTCTTCCAGAAATTATTTACCCACCATTTCCGGTATTTTTATTTTTAATTACAGCTAAACATCCTACACTATCCTCTGTTCATTAAACAGCATAAACTATGTGTTAACGATAAGCTGACCAATTATATCTGTATTAGTCATTGCTCTTTTTTCTGGTTAACACTGTTACTTAAACGAGATCAAAAAAATTGCTGTATAAGCTAACGACATTTGTTTTGGTCAATTTCAGAAAACAGAAAATTTGTACTGTATATTAACAATTTTCAACAAGAATTTATACCATGATTTTTTTTTAATTTAAGGATAATGAACAGAACCACAACTCAAATATGTACCTTAACGAAGATGAAAAGCTCAGTAATCGCTTCGGACAGCAGTCGATAATGACTGCAGGAAAGGTAATGAGACATACAGACGTGACGGAACTATCAAATCCCATGCAAGTCGAACTAGATCAAAAAATTGATAACAATAACGAGGTACTTGGCAATTTCAGTCAAGAACATAAAAAATTGTCATCCAGTAATACGTTGTTAGTAATCAAAAGTAGAATAAACAAATTTGCGTCGAAAAAAGTCCAAAATAACTATAATTTTAAATTAATAAAATTGGTTATTTGATATAATCACTTTTATCTATACTCATCGGGATCATTTAATAGAAGTAAAGTGAACTGGTACTATTTCCAAATAAATTCCTGCTAAGACCTTTAGTACATCTTTGAGAAGCCCTTGTCAAAATAGGCTATAATCAATTTATTTCAGCTAAAAAAGAGCTGGAATTAACAGAGTAGATAAGGCAAAAAAAAAAATACTGTAATTAGAGTGACTTGCAAGATTTAATTTTTAATCACTAATACAAATTAAAACCCAATGAAATTTAATTTTTATTTTTTATATTTTTTGCGCAGCATCCAAAACCGCTGACATCCAAACAAGGAGATCCAGTTACTGCTGAAATGAACGACAGCGGGACAGTTACTGTTGAAATGGATTCTCAACTGAAGTTAAAAGAAGTCGAAAAAATCAACACTTTAAAACACGTTGTGATGGATTCATTGAACAAGGATCAAAAAAAACTTGAAACCCCAGTCAAAGTTATACTGTCCCCAAAACAGTTCACGAATCCGATCCAAAAGTCTACTACACCAAAACATGAAAAGGAGCTCCCAACAACAAGCAGTTATGAGGTTATGTTATTCATAGAACTTTAAAAAATAGGGTTAACCTTCCAGGTTTAACTGCTACTTCTGACATTATTTCAATGTGATGATCGTGGAGAGGTTGTTGGAGAGGTTTCAAGCATTGAAACTGCTGCATACTGCTTATAAAATCAAAAGTAGTGATTCAAACCAGAAAAATTTTCACAATATTTTTCGAATACAAAAAAATAAAGACACCAATTAAACATACTGATCAATTTTGTGTACTTTTTCAATAATCTGTCAGATAAAACTGATTTGCAAATTTGCCCGAAAGCGCAGTAAAAACTACTCAAGAACCCTTTTTTTCAACAATATTCCCCATCCAGTTACAGTCCATTACAGATAAACAGTGAACGTAAAGAACAGTCTGTCAATGAAACATCAACGACCTCGACTATATTAGGCCCCTCACTGTTGACCTATACGTCGATTCCAGGTTCCTCTTTTATAATTATACAACAGAAGATACCAATAAATAACTCTTTTGTTCGCAGTTACTGGTCATTGTTACTAATATTACAGAGTCAGAAAAAACAACAGTAACCATGAAACAGAAACTGACAACAAGTTTGCCGACAAGCATGCAGACAAAGGATTCTAGTGCTGAAATCACTGAACTCCACAAAGTCAACGAACTAATTTCAAATTTAAAATTTGTAGTTTTATTGATTCTCCAGCCCGAATCCCTTTAGATCTCATAAAACGAATCTTTAATTTTGACAGAAAAAAATTTTTTATCCTAGAAGACTACTTTACTTGGGAATAAGTAAAGATTCTCTTATTTCAGAAGCGAACAATTAGCAGCCTGATATCAACTTTTAAGCCAAAAAAGTTTCTAGAAACAACCACAACAGCTCAGGTTAATTTTGCTGAATCAAGTTATGTCACTTCAACCGTTCAATCCGTGGAACAGCAAACTTTGGCAAACCACTTGATCAAACCGCCCGATAGGCAACAACACACAGAAATCCCCATATCAATGGTCTGTTAAAACTTTTTCACCTCAAAAACTTATTCGCCGAAACTTTACATGAGCCTGTTCTGGCAATACCCATATGTAACAGAACCTGAAAAACGTTAATATTTTAGTGGATACTCAAAACGTACAACTGTTCAGTGAACAACGATAGCCCGTTTTGCTGCAAAACGTGAACAGTAATTTAAAAAGTGAATAAATAATTAAGATGAAAAAGACTGTGATTCATAAACTGTTGCAGCAAATTGATGACACATATCAAACCAAAATGGGAATAGCTGAAGAAAAATTTGCAACTATCAACCCTCAGATTTGGTTGACAACTGAAACTGGTTATCATGAAAAAAATGTAATAAATATCGAGAAGTCAAACATAACTCTAAACACTGCTAATTCTTGGCCATATGTGCCATTCAAAATGTCAAAATTAATTTCTTTTCCAATAAACGGATAATCAAAATCAAAAAAGCTCAACAGCGATAACTCTTCAGATCCGTTCAAACTTATCGCATTCTGAAGCCAAAAGAAAAAAAAGCACCACCGGCGAAACATCAGGAAACAAAGCGCAAGCGAACAAACCGAACAGTCCAGTAACCAAGACCCATCAGAGGAAACAACCAAGCAAGTTGACAGGAAAAAGTCCACCATCAAAACACCTAGAGAATACAACAATCAGGTTAAAAGTCCTAAAGCGCGATCAGGCCGGAGCAAAAACGAAAGAGCAATTGAGGCAAACGACAAATAATTTAGACCTTGTTCCAGGTTCAAATTCTCATAGCACCAAAACACCGTTTACCAAGAATGTAAAAAAGGTAAAAAAATATCTATTCCATTTATTTGCGAATTTATAGTCCATAGATTTGCGCTGCCTTTAAAACTCCAGCTCATTCATTTAACTGATGACTTCCTAGTCTACTTAGCTGCTCACTTAATCCATCAGACCACCTTCTCCTCTTCACTGTTTTGCAGAGCAACCAGAAAAATGCGCTTGAAGAAGTTGAAAGAACAGCTGCAAACACGCTAGAAGTAAGTACTTAATCGATGAGAACTTAGCACCTGCTGTAATTTACAGAAGAAAGTTCAAATATTTTCTGAACGTTAAGGAATGATAGCGCAATTGAAAAATGAAAAAAGTGACCGTCCAGGTAATATTCTACTAACAAAAACATTAAAAAGTGTGATGATCACCCACTGTTGATTTCTCCGCCTACATCCAAATTGAAGAAAACGATTCAGGCGAAAATATGAAACACTATTGCCAAAAAGCCAACATGACTCTCATAAGCTGTCGTTAATGGCCACTGATACGCCATGATACAACGCTTAGTTTATTTTTCTAACATACAGCAGATAGGTAGGCCTTTTTCTGAGTTAATCATCAGTCTGTTCATCAGCAGAATAATATATTAAGCCGCCAATAATCCATATGATCCGCAATCAAGCAAAGTTAACTACTTCTACAAGTTATCAAACCATAAACCATGGTCGTCTTTCAGCACAAACCCACATCCTTGCTATAAAGTCTAATCTGTGTGATGCCTGAACCCGTAGTTGTTAAATCCCACCACCAAAAATCAAGAAGTGAAAAACGGGTGGACAACAGTATTACTGTCTAGGAATACTGTCTTACATAAGCAGATAAACTGTTAATAAGATTTTTCGGTAATAAACTTGTTAAGAATAAATATGGTACAGAAAAAAGTAAGGAAGTTACCTACACTGTTCAACAAAAGTCCGCTGATGCCAAACATGAGACAACCCATGATCCTCAATGTAGAATTTGCAAATCATAACCTTTTCTTCTGATGCCCCTGTAAAGTGAGCGTAAAATACGAAACAAATTTATTTTTTTTTCAGAATTTCAACTGCACTACAGGGAACGACGGACAAGTGACGTCATGTGATCGACAGTCTCAGGTCAACAAGCCGAATGCTATTGCAAAAAATACAGTAAGTGAATAAAAAACGGATGTTTCTACGCCCAAGAATCACAAGTTACTGTATGGAATACTTTTCAGAATTCAACATCTAGGCCAAGACCTTTACCAACAACTACTAGAATGTATCCCACCACAACGTTAGCAGCCACGGTGATCAAAAATGCTACAACTGCAGATACTGCAGTAAAACAGCTGTATTCTTCGGCATCCGAATCACTGCATCCATCATTTTTGTTCAGACGACGAAAGCAAAAAATTCCAAACGAAAGTTTTGAACCGTGGATAAATATACCGGCAAAGAAGCAAAGAAATTTATTGGATAACAGAGTGTCATCAAAGTCAAAAACATTCCTGACAAAAATACCTCAACAAAAATTGCACAGTGGGATGCGGAAAGAAATAAAACAAAGATCAGACTAATTAAGTTGCAGGATGGAATTTGATGACAAAAATTATACTACTACAACTACCACTACTGCTACCACCACTACCACCACTATCATCACTTTCATCAGTACCATCTTTTTCGTCGTCGTCGTCATCGACAACAACCAATACGCCAGTTGAAGAAAATCTGAAGCTAAATACAAATTTTTTCTTCAACAAAGCCAATGATAATAATCGTAATATCAAATGCGTTTGCTTTTGCGCATAAAAACCTCAGAATTTCTGTTCGGTGATGCCGACTTTAACAAGACAGAAAAACCAGTTGTTTCCCTTCATTTCCATTTTTGTAAATAAAGAAACCATCCAAAGTTTGCTTTAATTTTGTAGGTTGGGGAAAAAAACATCCAGATCTTGATAAATTAAGCCAAACGGAAAACAATCAACTTTTTCTCCCTATTTTTTCCTTCTCTAAAAAAACTTCAGTCCTTCGGCGAAAACATTTCATTGCCGAACAATGCAAACTTTCTCATTTCGGAATAAAAAAATTTATTGCATCAGTTGTTGTTGTAAAATCAGTAAAATGGTGTTGAGTGGCCCAAAAGGAAAGAAAACGAGCAACGAAAACTAGACGAATTTCAGCCGTATAGATTATATCGTGTTACTGTTACTAGATTTTGCACACGAAATTATCAACAAAAAAAAAGAAGCAAGCATTTTGGTCATTCTACGCTTTTTTTTCACCTTGTATTGTGCAACTTGACAAAATAGACTACTCCTCGACCATTCACAAAACCTATGCATAAGAATGCATAACAAAAAAAACTTATTCACTTTTACTGGTCCAACTGAAAACGGCTAAGCCTAAAACTCCATACTACCCAACATATCAGTACCCTCAAGATGAATA